TCGTTTGAAGTTTTAAACATATTTGACCCCTGTGACCTTGAAAACAGGTCAAGGTCATTTTCGTTCTCAAACTCTGTAGGGCTCCTACCAATGAAGCTTTCAGCCAAATATCATGACTCTAGGCCTGTCCGTTCTTCAGAAGAAGTTGTTTAAAGGAAAAGTTGACGGACGAGGACGGACAGACGACGGACGCCGCGCCACGCCATAAGCTCACTTGGCACTTCGTGCCAGGTGAGCTAATAAAGACAAGGTTTGTTGATGGAGAGAGTTGATGACACCGTAAAGAAGATAATAAAGACAAGGTTTGTTGATGAAGAGTTGATGACACCATATGGAAGATAATAAAGACAAGGTTTGTTGATGGAGAGAGTTGATGACACCGTAAAGAAGATAATAAAGACAAGGCTTGTTGATGAAGAGTTGATGACACCATATGGAAGATAATAAAGACAAGGTTTGATGATGAAGAGTTGATGACACCATATGGAAGATGATAAAGACAAGGTTTGTTGATGAAGAGTTGATGGCACATTATGGAAGATAATAAAGACAAGGTTTGTTGATGAAGAGAGTTGATGACACCATATGGAAGATAATAGACAAGGTTTGATGATGAAGAGTTGATGACACCATATGGAAGATAATAAAGACAAGGTTTGTTGATGAAGAGTTGATGGCACATTATGGAAGATAATAAAGACAAGGTTTGTTGATAAAGAGAGTTGATGACACCATATGGAAGATAATAAAAAAAGGTTTGTTGATGAAGAGAGTTGATGACCCCCTATGGAAGATAATAAAGACAAGGTTTGATGATGAAGAGTTGATGACTCCATATGGAAGATAATAAAGACAAGGTTTGATGATGAAGAGGGTTGATGACACCATATGGAAGATAATAAAGACAAGGTTTGATGATGAAGAGAGTTGATGACACGATATGGAAGATAATAAAGACAAGGTTTGTTGATAAAGAGAGTTGATGACACCATATGGAAGATGATAAAGACAAGGTTTGTTGATGAAGAGAGTTGATGACACGATATGGAAGATAATTAAGACAAGGTTTGTTGATGAAGAGAGTTGATGACACAATATGGAAGATAATAAAGACAAGGTTTGATGATGAAGAGAGTTGATGACATGATATGGAAGATAATAAGGACAAGGTTTGATGATGAAGAGAATTAAGGAGACAGTATACAGGTAGGAAAGACAAATTTAAGGAATGCCATCGCATAAATTGTAGAGGAGAACCACTAGTTGATATGTTTCCTTTGGACCAGCTGGTATAACTTTATTTAGATTGTCTCCATCTGCTATGGAGAAAAAAAATCTCTGTAGGAAAAGAAACAGATGAAGGTGTTGATGTACAGTTCTAGATTGCCACTATTGAATTATTGTAATTACACCTTTGAAACAACTGTAGCTGAGATTACTGATGTGTTAACCAATGGGAGGCAGTGTAGCTTCCGTCATGTGTACTCCAATAGGTTTCTGTTACATCCCCAGTGTTTGGTCGACAATCAAGATTTACTGGTGTCCCGTCACTATCTTGTACAATCACTGGGGCACATGTACTTAAAAGCAAACATGATAAAACTGTGTCACATACTAAGCACCAAAGCTAAGGAAACACTGAGACATCAACTAAAAAGTGATCCCTCGACGACATTTTGACCGACTAGATATCTTGTAAATGACTTGCACGTAAAAATACAAACGTTCCTTGAAGAATAAAACGGCATTATACTTCTAAACTACCACAAAGAAGAACCACATAAATACTGATGCAAGGAATCAGTTAAATTTACTACTCTGACGTAAACTCTCTTACTTTTTTCCCCCTCAGAACCCAGCTTCCATAAAAACAGTGTGTAGGTTTTCCGTTTTTATGTTCTTTTTCAAGTAGACTTAAAAGTTCAAAAACTGATTCAAAACATGTCTAGTGTGGTTTTATGGATACAGTTAGCGAGTTACAATGTTTGTCAATAACATACAGGCCATTCTGTTGCCTCGGAGCAGGAATGTTATCTTTCGGTGGTTTTCTTCCACCCATGTGAAAACTTGTAAGACTTATATTTATGTTGATTTCCATTTTATGATCAATGCAAGACAAGAAAAGGGTTAGTTTTAAGGAATTTAGCCTTGGTGTCTTCTATTTCAGTGATTAATACCCTCCAAATCTAGTATTCTTAAGTCTTCTGTTGATTTGAAAAGCTAGTATATATAAAAATGAGATGATTTGAAAACAAATTACACTGAAATGAAGTTCAGACATGTTTTTCAGAAATAAGTAGTATCAAAAATATTTTTTACCGAACAAATGGCCAGTGGGTAGATTGCTTTCAGTGTTAATATATAAGCATCACAAATTCAACATAGGGTACGAAAGAAAATTTGAACAGTTTAGCCTCTTTAAGTTTAAGGAATATTTTTTATAGATTTTTTATTACCGAAAATTAAATATCTAATTAATAATCTACTTAAAATAACTAATTAATAATCTACTAAACAGAAAACAATAAATAAACACACTGTGTATAACATTATAAGGATGCCAGGTAATTGACGAGTGGGGAACTTTTATTACTTTTATTGAGACCTAATTTATTACCCAAACAACATACTTTAACTATTTAAATCGGATTTTAACTATAATCTTTGTTTCAATCTCCATTTTCAATATCATGAGTTTTTACACATACTCTTGTTCAGAGCTCCATTTCAACATTTCATAGTGACATGATCAGATTGTTCATTAAGAGATTTCAAATCAAAGAAAGCATACTTTAAAACCGGTGTCCATCATAAAACAGCCTACTCTGTGAGCTAAAGGACCAGACCAATAACAGAAATTCCTCTTTTTTCCAACACTAATTACAGAAGCAGTGTTGTCCTATGTAACCACAACATTTACGGTTTGATTAAGATATATGTACTGTGGCTAGAATTGGTAATTGGTGAGAGTGGTCTCAAATAAGCATATTATGGATAATATATCTACAATTTAAAAAAACAATATCTCTCACTGAAAAAACACAATTGGAAGCTTTTTGAAAGTTCTTTCCGTTTTCTGTTTTTTTAAAAATAGAATGTAATCTGTCAGTAGTCATTTACTCATCAGCCAGGCTAACAGGTAAAGCTAAAACCTGCCTCCTGTTTGTAGGTCACCTCTACCTACTTATTGTATAGTGTACCTGCTCTCTGAGACATACTTCCCGCATGATCTCCTAACGTAGATCCTAAGTTGTGGGCCCCAAATAGAAAACAGGGCCAATACATACTCCCTCAGGGAAAATAGTTTAATAGATCATGGTACCGAGGTCCATATAATTTTCACCTTCAAAGCAATCAGAAACCTTCTAAATTATTGAAGACAACATGAGAATACAATGACAGGGGACCATACTCTACGGAAGGCTTTAGAACACTCTCCAGTCTGTCAACAAACTTCAATCAACGTTAATTTCCCAGACAGGAAGTCATTCTACACTCAAGTCCTGTGTGATCTTCCAACCATGTACACAATTAAGCCACTACACAATCACCTTGTAGCTGTGATGCAAGAACCAGATATGCAGGCCTTCCAATGACCAACATATTGGCTCTAGCTTCTGGAATCCTCTTAGTGTTATACAACATTCATACTGAGTGTTGACCTTGTCCCTGGATTTAACCCTTATTCTTAGATGTTGACCTTTGTCCTTGTGTATTGTCGTTAATTTGTCCCTGGGAGTTGACCTTTGTCCCTAGTTGTAAACCCTTGTTCCTAGAGTTTGACATTTGTCCCTGTGAGTGTGGACATTTATGTCTGAGTGTTGACCTTGTCCCTCTTGTGTGTTGACCTTTGTCCCTGTGAGTGTGGACCATTGTCTGAGTGTTGACCTTTGTCCCTCTCTGACTTCCCTCTGATTGACCTTTGTGTCTGAGTGTTGACCTTTGTCCTTCTGACTGCTGAACTTTGTGTCTGAGTGTTGCTCTTTGTCTCTCTGAGTGTTGACCTTTATATCTGAGTGTTGCCCTTTGTCTCTCTGAGTGTTGACCTTCGTGTCAAAGTGTTGACCTTTGTGTTTGAGTGATGACCTTTGTTTCTGAGTGTTGACCTTAATGTCTGAGTGTTGACCTTTGTCCCTCTGAGTGCTGGTCTTTGTCCCTCTGCTATGAGTGTTGAACTTTGTGTTTAGTGTTGACCTTTGTCCCTCTGAGTGTTGATCTTTGTCCCTCAGAGTTCACCATTGTCCATAAGTGTTAACCTTGGTTTTGTCTTTTGTCCCAACGGGTTGACCTTTGTCCCTGGGAGATATCAGTTATTGTCATGTAGACAGTCTTTACTTCTACTCAAGGTGATCATGTCTATTATTTGGTGTTTTTAAACAGAAAATGTAACATAATTGACAGAATCAGGGTTGTGGTTTTATTGAACTCAAGGTGTATGTGAAGAATGGTTTCATTGTTACTACACTATCTCACTGTTATTAATGTAACTGTGGACATTTTATTTAACAAGATTGTTTTTGTTAAATGTTCCCATTTTGCTGGTAATGGAGCTAAACGCAAAGACTAACAAAGTCAATGAAGCAAAAATCATAGGTTAGAGTGATCTACATTTGATATATGTGTGTAGTACTTCTCTGAGACATACCCCGCATGTACATGGAGTTTGAGAGCTGTTGGACTAATATTAAGAACAGTGCAGCGAAATGTAAATTCTAACCAAGATGTTATACAGATGGACACTGAATTCTTCCTCCACTAATGTCGAGGGGGCATACAAATATCTAAACAATCAAACTTGATTGTAATCTTGCCCTCACACATTAAATGTTTAAATGGAGTTTTTTGAAAGGTAATGCAGGATATTTCAAAACCTTTTGATCAAGGTTCAAGCCAAGGAAGTGACATAACTAGCAACCTATCAAGGTTCAAGCCAAGGAAGTGACATAACTAGAAACCTATCAAGGTTCAAGCCAAGGAAGTGACATAACTAGAAACCTTACCAAAACCACCCGTGTTCCCGCCTGCTTGAGTGCCTCGACCGCCTCGGAATGTGTAGCGTTGGATACGTCCGTCTCGTTCACCTTCACGATGATGTCGTTCATCCTGAAAAACACAACATCTTTGGTTAGTATTAACAGAAATTTATTAGTTGCTCTAATTTCAACAAATTGTATTGTATAGATAAATATATTCATAGATTTGAAAACTGGCAGATATCCTAGAAGGGTCTTGGCACCCGTCATCAAAGGATCTTGATCAGATCCACAAAAGATGATCTTTTACCTTCTTTGCTCTTCACATTCCTTACTGGTACTATGACCCAGTCCCATGTTAGATATCCTAATCAGGAATCTTGTACATTAAGTTAAACCTCGTAATGTTATGTTATTTGCTAATCTGGAAAATGTTTTTCATGTGTAAGAATTGCATAATTATATGGAAAACGCTAATGTTATCGTACTTATTAGACGTGCTGTCAATGAGGGATGAATTCTCATCAGGGCAAGGTGTTTTTTTATACAAGGGGAACCTCAATATAAAATTTGGGATAGATCCCTCCTGTACTTGTGGTGAAATTCTGATAACAAAGCTTAACAGTCAAAATCCAAGATAGCCATCTGTCTACCATTTTGTTTTATCTGATCAGTCTCAAAAGTTAATATGCACAACTATAAACCAAAGAAAACTTTCATATTACATTTGAGAAAGATTCTGGTGATAGTGGGCTAAACATCGTTGGTTAGCAGGTCTGGTATTTTTGATTTTTTAAACTTTTGTTGGTGTGTTTATATATAGGGTTTAGCACCCTCTCAGTAACTAAGGTCATAGGAAGAACATGTCCAAAGATTACGGGGTCATTCAATTATCATATTCTCACTTATTTAAGGGTGTATGATACATTACTGTGACACTAATTAACATTTCAAAAGAGTTTGAACATCAGAAACTTGTCAATTGTTTACTGTAAACAGATACTGACTTCGCTAATGAAGGACACATTTGACAGGTGCAAGAGAATATGTTCATTGATCACACCTCAGGTAACTGATCATAGCAAAGAAATTGATCACAGACAGGTAAATCAGCATAATTAGATACATCTATCAAAACATTTCTGACAGTAAGTAACTACCATACAAATTATAGGTAAGAAAACTTAAACATGGCTTACTGCAAAGTTAAACAACGGCTGTTTCCCTTCAGGAAGCAGGCTGTCGATTCTAGTATAACCTACAATCTACTTGAAACAATTGTTAACACATTATTTAATTTTATTTTTCTGAAATGAAATAGGGAATATCATTGATTTCTAGGTAAAAAGTTACCAAATCAACTGAACCCCTATAGACAACACATTTTGAACGTCTCCCAATAACAGAGCCAGCTGTCTCTGTCAAATTGACCTCCAAAGTTTCATTGCACAGACATTACCAACTTGTAAAATAAAACGTAAAACAGGCACTCATCCTTGATTTGATAGTGATGGCCCCCCGGCACGTGGTAGCGCCCTCACTGTTGGAACACGATCAAATTAGCCAGCCAAGGCAAATGTTTGTTTTACTGTCGATCATGAAAAATTCATAGTTTACACGATCGCAGCAAAGCTGTTCACACTATTGCCCGATACAATCCCGACAATCCGACAGGATGCTGTATTATCAGGATAGACGGTCGACAGAACCCCGTACCAGGAAGTCACGGCCACAAATAGCGCCACAAATAATTCAACACACAAAATCAACAATCAATAGCCATACAGACTTGACACTTATTGACATCAAGTGAAAGTTAACACCAGGTTTAATTATTCTGCTGCCAATAACGATGGAACTTTATTCACAAATATCACAACAAGTAAAGGTTCAATGTTCCATTTTATTTTTTTCCATTCTTTACTTTCTTTAGATGTCAGTATTATAGGGCCTTGGAACAATTGTTTTACCAACAGCTTTTATCTTTATGAAAGAGATAGGCAAAGAGTCCTTTCCTTCCTCCTTTCATTCAATCGTACATTCATTACCTGTTCATCAATTCATTTTTTAATCTTAAAGATCTTTGCCCTTTGAGCTCATCCCATCTTTTTTCTCTCAACCAAACAAATTTACGCTAACTAGACTGATAATTTTAATTCAGATGTAAATAGCTATAAGGTCAAAGACTAAGACCTTTCACAATTAACCTTAAAATTAAATAATGACATTTGAAAAGCACTTCCAAACTCTTAAGTGAAACAACGCAATGGAAGCGATATTGAGGGATGAATTTTGTATAATGCAGCACTCTGATAGTAATAATGACATAAGGTCAAGATTGTCTCGGTGAATAAATATTCTTGGTCCGGTGCTAATGACCGTGATGTCTTCAATATTCTAACTCCTAATCCCTGGTATCTTTTCTCGCCTTCTTCCTTGGACATCCCATCATTAGGGAAGTTCTAGTCCTTGACAAAGGTCGTGACCATACCTACAGCGACCTGTCAATCTTAAGACACGATGTTGTGTAATAACAATAAGTAGGGGAATCAACAGACAGTGTCCTATAATGGCCGTCCATTTATACACAGTTCTATATTTGTTAATGCAATAGATCTCGTGAATCACGTCATCTCAACCTTTAGTTGTAGTCGTCACTCTTGTCTTCAGATCTAGATTGGGTATCGTGTGATTGACATTTACTTCAACAGGAAACACAGATCAATGCTACTAGTGTTTGAAACATGAATTATGGTTTGATGTGTGTAGGTGTCTGATTGTTTCCGTGATTTGGCATGTTATTACTGTGACAAGAGAAGATCTACTAATTATATAAACTCTATACCAGTTTCGGAGACCTGAGAATAGCGCCCATTACACAACAAGACATTACCAAGCGGACTTCACACAAAATGTCACCAAACAGAGCAGGTTTCAAGAATACATTCTGCTATCAAGAAGACAAGCACCAGTGACAATAAGTGCTTGTTAACCATCAATGTGACCTTGGTCAACATGACCTAGTCACCGGTGACAATAAGTGCTTATTAACCATCAGTGGGACCTTGGTCAACATGACCTAGTCACCAGTGACAATAAGTACTTGTTAACCATCAGTGTGACCTTGGTCAACATGACCTAGGCACCGGTGACAATAAGTGCTTATTAACCATCAGTGGGACCTTGGTCAACATGACCTAGTCACCGGTGACAGTAAGTGCTTGTTAACCATCAATGTGACCTTGTTCAACATCACCTAGTCACCTGTGACGATATGTACCTGTTAACCTTCTATGTGACATTGTACAAACACAAACTAGTCATCTGTGACGTTATGTACCTGTTAACCTTCTATGTGATATTGTACAAACACAAACTAGTCACCTGTGATGTTATGTATCTGTTAACCTTCAATGTGACCTTGTACAAACACAAACTAGCCACCTGTGACGATATGTACCTGTTAACCTTCAATGTGACATTATACAAACACAAACTAGTCACCTGTGACGTTATGTACCTGTTAATCTTCAATGTGACATTGTACAAACACAAACTAGTCACCTGTGACGATATGTACCTGTTTACCTTCAATGTGACATTGTACAAACACAAACTAGTCACCTGTGTCAATATTTACCTGTAAACCTGCAATGTGACATTGTACAAACACAAACTAGTCACCTGTGACGATATGTACCTGTTAGCCTTCAATGTGACATTGTACAAACTCAAACTAGTCACCTGTGACGATAAGGAACCTGTTAGCCTTCAATGTGCCATTGTACAAACACAAACTAGTCCCCTGTGTCAATATTTACCTGTAAACCTGCAATGTGACATTGTACAAACAAAAACTAGTCACCTGTGACAATATGTACCTATTAACCTTTAATGTGACATGGTACAAACACAAACTAGTCACCTATGACAATATGTACCTGTTAACCTTTAATGTGACATTGTACAAACACAAACTAGTCACCTGTGACGATAAGGAACCTGTTAGCCTTCAATGTGACATTGTACAAACACAAACTAGTCACATGTGACGATATGTATCTGTTAACCTTCAATGTGACAATGTACAAACACAAACTAGTCACCTGTGACGTTATGTACCTGTTAGCGTTCAATGTGACATTGTACAAAGACAAACTAGTCACCTGTGACGTTATGTACCTGTTAGCCTTCAATGTGACATTGTACAAACACAAACTAGTCACCTGTGACGTTATGTACCTGTTAACCTTGAATTTGACCTAAACATGAATTGGTCTAAAAGTTGAAAAATAACTTTTTGTTGTTGTCTTGAAGCTTAGGTTGCTGCCTTCATAACAAGCAGAGCTAGGTTAGATACCCCCTACTTAATCTTTGACCTTAAATGCATGCCAAGGTTGTTTATTACACAACCTTATTAAACCAGTAATCCAACAAAACTTAATGGTTCACTAAAAGTTTGCTTTCCCATTAGCTGAGACAGTAACTTTTTACACTTAAAATATAAACATTCAATTTGTTTAGCATTGGTTTTTCCCTAACTGTTCATATGTAAGCCAGTGATGGCATGTCAGCGTTCTCCTTACCCAGATATCCCACATGGAACATCCTGTCATGGAAAACCTTTTGCATCAGAATCCTTTTAGCCATCAGTGAGAGTTGTTTAAAAAGTGGCACTAATTCAATTGTACATGATTTAGGAACAAACGGCACACCACATGGAGAGAGGTCTGACGTCGGTCACACACAACACAGGCTAGACAAAAGGCACAAAAGGCCTGCTGCTATAATAACTGGCATGGGAAATACATTCAGCTCCATATCCTCTACAAATAAGACTTAGACGTGATTTTGGATTGTTCCACAAAATCCTAATACGGCCTGGTGGCATAACCCAATTCTAGAAATGACTTTGCATAATTTAGTCACTGTTGGGGAGTTTTACCCTTTTCTTTGAAGCAATCTACAGAATAATTCTCAAGACATGTCTTATACGTATGCATTCGCACTAACAATGCTCATGGTAATTGTAAACATATCAGTGTTTATCGTTCAAACAATTTACTCATCGCTTGCACGTAGATAAAATCTTGAATCCACCTGCGGTGGCCTCTCGATTTTATCCATGTG